CCCACCCCGAACCTGGAGCATTTAAATAGTTTCAGAAAATTTAACCCTTTTTTATTAAATCTAGTAGTGCTTTTTCAAGTGCAGCGTGTCACGTTTCTCCTCAGCGACTAAATACGTGGAAGGTGTTTTTCATGCTTGCTCAGCCACAGGTGCTTGCCTTTAAACCTTTTGTTTCCTTGTTTCGCTTGGTTGGAGAATAATCTTCATGTTTTTATCTTGTATAGCATATGTCTTACGTTGTATAATATATATTACATACGTATACATTCTATGTATATTGCACATATATACTATATAATCATATTTTATGAGATGCTCAGAGAGCTGTGTTACAGAGCAAGGATTACTTACAGTTATTCCCAAATACTTCTGCCGAAATTCATACTTACATTAACAGAACTATGCTTGGCTCAAAATCTCTCATTTGGCTTTTCTGCTGCAAGTGTGTCTAACTGTTAACGTATAAACTTACTTCTAACTCTGTCTGCAAAATCAGCGAAGAAACAGAAATATTCTAAAGCAATTATAAATGTAAACTTGTATTTTTCTGATGTTTAATTATGAACTCCTGTATTAACTAAATCTTAATTTAGGAGACACTCCTAGTTGGCAGTTTATTTATGATTTTCAATTTGTTAAAAAAAAAAGGCATAAAACCTAGTAAGAATGGAAACTATGAAAGTGTGATATCAAATCATTTTTGACTGGATCTAAACATTCTTTTAGAATGTAGTGCAAACAGTGCAGCATTGTGTAGGTCACACAGAACAGTGAATCTTAGTAGGTACAGCAGTTAACCTGACTTGTCTGGTTAAATGTCAGCGACAACAGAAAAATTAAAAAGTACCCCTTTAGAAATAGTATATTCTTTAGTAACCTTCCATTGACTGCTGCTTGACTAAAGACTATAGCATTGGGCCCGTGATTAGCCAAAAGCATGGAGAAGGGATTAGATTTGTTTACTTGATGTTCAGATTTAATTATGTCCTTTTAAAAAAATTAAATGCACGCAGAGCCGCTTCTGTAAACGTTAAGCATATACAGAGCAGTGCTCAGTGATACTGTTCTAATTAAGCTGCCAAAGCGTTTGCCAGAGTGAGCCCTCTATAAATGTACATATATAAAACAAAGCAAAACAAAAAAACAATCCTGAAACTATCTGTTTATCATTCATTTAATCAAATGGACATAAAACATGTAATTAAAGCATGTGAGTCTCCGATACATTTCAGTTACTACAGCTGTACAATTTACATAAATATCTGAAAGTTACTTATAGATGTGCTATAGGAGGTGTTGCCTAGCCCTGTATTCCTTCTGGACTGAAAGTACTGAAGAACTGGGTAGCACAGTACAGGATTATTAGTTTCACATTTTTAAAGTTGTTAAGAGGGCACTTTATTTCGAATTTGTCATTTCAGAGGGGGTCACAATCATCATTCAAAGTTTCTTTAGGTTTAAACTCCTTAGGTTTAAAAAAGTCTGTGTGAAGGGCATTTGCACAGAAAAGCACAAAGCAAGGTTTTAAAATCTGTTTATTAACAAACACACCTGTTTTTAAGATGGATTAAAAAAAATTATCAGTGAGCAGTCTTTAGAAAAAAAAGATACAAAGGGATACAAAAATTATTTATTGTATGAATCTGAATATGTATTAGAGCTGGATTGAAATTAGTCCGCATTATTTTAAATGCTACGCTAAAGGCACTAGCCAGATCTGCATTAGTAATAAGAAGCATCAGGTGGCTACATATGGCTAAACAGTTTGTGTAAAGAAATGTTATGCTAAACTCTTTCCTGGTTCAGTAATTGCTTTCTGTGCTCCAACTCGGAAACATCCCACTTGCCACGGAGCTCCAGACAAAAAGCGGAGGGCAGGGAAAAGCTGACCAGAAAAATGCTTTTCGTATTTACACACAGGTCTTGCCCGAAATGACAAGGGGTAAACGTGCAGAGGGAAAAGTTTCTAACATTTCTGCAAATTCACAGATTCTCCCTATACACACCGTGAGTTCAGAGCTCACACAGAAGATGAAAGGAGGAAACTTTTTTCTCTTCCCAGGCTCCACTGTGAGCTGTACTTGTCTCATTTAAACCTTGTCCCGTACTTGTCTCCTGTGAAACCTTGATATTTGTAGAGAAGGACAGTGTCTCTCCTTCAGCTAAATATGAGGCAAGGCAACTCACTGCCCGATGCCTACAATGAAATATGGTTTGTGTCGAAACCACACCTCAGAAACGTAAATAGACCAGAAACTTGCCTCTTCTGACAGGCAAAAAGGAGAAAAAAAAAAAAAAAGGCGAGAGAAACGAACAATTGTCCCTATCTCTCTTCCTCTCCCCGTCTTCCTTCTCCTCTGATCTATTTTTACTATAGCATTTTCACAGTAATATGGTGGAGATGTACATTATAATGCTGAAAATTTATTAGCAGGAGGTTTTGCCTCCGGGACAAAAAATAATAAATTTGAATGACTGGTTTTAAAGCCTTTTGAAGATGAAAGGTATGAAAGACGGTTATTTTAAAACGTCTACTTCAGAAACGCTTCCTTAAAAAGACTATAAATAATGTTCAGATATTGAAAGGGGGGCCTCGCCAGAGGGCTTAAACCGCGGCGCTTTCAGAGCCATCGCCCACTTCGCCAGAGACGTTCCCGCGCCGCGGCTGGATGCCTTCGTACGCATAAAAATATAAAGGCAGAAAACATCGGCGTTTGTGAAGCGCCGGGCCCAGGCGGGACTTCTGGCGTTTGAAAATAGCGGCCGGACGCCCCGCCAGCTCCGCCGCTC